ATTTATCATTTATTCTTATTATTCTTTTGCTCTTTTCTATATTCTATATCATATATTCATATCATTTTCATTTATATTTTATCACTTATTATATGTTATAATAACATAACACATATGATTGATTATATAATAAACATCATAATGAAATTATACATATAAATAATAAACATAAAAATAATAAAATATTTTTCATTAATAAAATAATATTAATTATTTTACATCATTAAATTAGACACTTTTATTGAATATTTCTAATTTTTACATTAAAAATACACTTTTTATTTCTTCTTTCTTTTTTTATTACATCTTTGTGATTTATTATTTTTATATTCTTCTTCTACTTTATTTTTATTCTTTTATATATTTATATTCTTTTTATATTATTTGTTTTTCATTGTTTTTCTATTTCTTTCTTCTATTATTTATCAATTTTATATTCATTTATTCTTTTTATTTCTTTTTTATTAATTCTTGAGTATTGTATATTTCTTTATTATTTCATTTGTGTATTATCAAAATATATGTTTTATTGATTTTATGTTGAATAAAATATTGAATAAATCAATATTTTCATTCTTAATTATTCATTCTTTATTCTGAAATGTTGTGTATATTTATTATATTAAATGAATATGATGAATGAATATCAATATTATTGTTTATTTGATTTTAAAAAATAATAAATGAATATGAAATAATAAATGAAATAATGAAGACAATGAAATGATAATGAAATAGAATAATCTAATATTGAACAAATTAAATAAAGAATATATTGAATATATCATTATTGCTACTTTATTATTTGTTATTTCAATTATTAAATATTAATAAATTATTATTCATGAATATTTAATTGATTGATATTTTACATTTTCATTTTCATTTTATTTAATAAATGAAATATAAATAATAAATGAATAAATAATAATTTAATATATGAAATAATAAAAAGAAAGATAAATAATAAAGAAATATGATGTATTTAATATATAATATAATTTATTATCAAATAAAATAATAATAATATCAAATGATGATTTATTTTTATTTCAAAATATTTTGCATCAATAAAATATGTTGCTAAATATTTTGCATTATTAATTTTTGCATCATTAAATTTTGCACTTTTTTTATTTGTTTCAATAAAATTTGCATCCTTTATTTTTTTTCTTTCTTTTCTTCTTTTATCATCTCTTTTGTTTTATTACACTTTATCTTCTTTCTTTTTATATTCTCTCCTTTCTACTTTTATTCTTTCTTCATCATATTCTACTTCTTACTTTCTTTTTATTCTTTTATATCTTTCATTCTCTTCTGTTTCAATTATTTGCTTTTTTTCGTTGCCCAAATTCATGTATTAATCTTTTTATTAACTCTTATTATTGTTGACATTTTATGTTTTCTTTCAAATAATTTCAAAACAAAACATTTATAAAGTGTTAAAATTTCTTCTTCTCTATTTGTTTGTTTCAATTGTTTTTATTGATAATCTGATTCAAATGGTGTGATTTTTATTTTCAATTTCTATTTCTTCAATGAAATTCTGAATTAACTTTCTTTTTAAAGATTATCTTCGCATGATGATATTTCATCAGCTAATACAACATTGGTGGAGAGATATCATTTACTATTTGTGTTTCAGATGAGTATGTTATACTCAAATTTACTTCATCTTTATTCTTGTGTGTTTTTATTTTCTAATTTATATATTTTATATTTCCTGAAGTATAATTATTGTGATGGATTGTTTACTTCTGATATTTTCTTTTTAGAGTAACCATGTTATTTAAATACTTTTATAACACAATTGTTTTATCTCATTCTCATACTTCTTCTTTAATGTCACAATCTTTTCGTTAATTTATTAATAATTCTGTTCTTTTTCTATTCTCTTCTTTATTTTCTCTATTTCTTTATTATTTTATTATTTTATTTGCATTTTCCTCTTCTTCATATCTATTCTCTTATTCTTCAAATATCTTTCTCTTATTTATCTTCTTTAATCATTTATTATTTTATCATCTATTCAATTAGACTCTTTTGTTTATCATCTTCTTCTTTTCAACTTCTTTTTCTCATTCAAGAAAATACAATCTTCTCCATATTGTTGATAATGTATATTCTTTACTCTTATTTTTCTTAATTTCATATATTTCTTGTTGTGCAATGATTTTAATTTCTTATTCAAAGAGTCTTTTCCATTATTCTTGATTTTGTATTTTTATCATTTCTTTTCTTTTCTTTTATTTCTGTTTTGAGTTTTATTTTGATGTTGTTTATACATTCTTTGAGTGTTATTATGATATTTATTTCTACTATGATAATATCTGTTTTGATTGAAAATGTTGTTAAATACTTATGATGATGACTATGATTGAAGTGATGTGTGAAATGAATCATAATATGATTAATGTAATAGTTATTAATATGGGAATGATCAATGTATCTCTGTCTAGACAAATAAGACATATTTCATACATTCTTCTATCATTTTTTATTTGTTAGTTGATATGAATTTCTTCTTCTTTTGTTATTTATTTTTATAATATTTGTTGTGTCTCATAGAATGAATCTATTTATTTAGTTTTATGAAGTATTATTCTATCTTATTAATAAAACTAGAAATAAAATAAATATATTCAATTAGAAGAATAAAAAGGTGATGATAATACAAAGAATAAGAAATGAAGATGTTGCGCCATCAAGATTTTTATGATTATTTATATCATCATCTGGTTTATTATCAGAACTATCTGAACTACTTGTTATTTTATTTCTATTATCTATTTCTTGATTTCCATCTTTTTGTTCATTGCTTTTTTCATCTTCTGCTTTTTTCTTATCGTCATTCTTGTCATTATTTTTGCTGTCTTGTTTTTCTTCTTTGGTTGTATCACTTCCATTTTTTTTCATCTTGTCCAGCAACTCCATTTTTTCCAGACTCTTCTTTTTGCCCAGTTTCTCCACTATTTCCATCTTTTTCTTTGTTACTTTCACCATTTTTATTACTATGTCCATCGTCAGTCACACTATTTCCTTGTTCTTTTCCTTCTTTATCTTTCGTATTTCCACCATCTTTTTCATTAGTTGCTTTTTCTTCTTTTCCTTTGTCATTTATTTCTCCTTTTTCTTTACTATCTGCACCAGTGCCACTTCCTTCTTTTCCTTGTTCGTTTACACCACTGTCTCCTTGTCCATTTTTGTTACTTTCTTGTCCTTTTTCACTATCACTACTTCCTGGTTTTGTAGAAGGTACTTCCCCTTCACTTTTTGGTACTGGATCTTCTCCTTTTCCTGTACTTCCTGCGTTAGTTTGTTTTGGTGTTGTTTCTTCTTGTCCTGTTGTACTACTTTCTGGATTTAATCTTTTATCAGTTGTTTCACTTTGCTTATTTGTTTCTGTTTCTGCATTATTTTCTGTTTTGACTTCACCTCCTTTTGCTGGTTCATTAACACCTTTATCTACTTTGTTTTCTGTATTTGTATTTAGTGATTTACCTGTTTCACTATCTTCTGGGTTATTCTTTGGATTTAATGTACTTCCAACTTCTTTTGTGTTTGTATCTTCTTCACTCCTTTGTTCTTTTTGAATTGTTGGTTGGGAACTTTTTGGTACTTCATCGGTTATTTGTGTTGTTACTTCACCTTTTAATTCTGCTTTATATAAATTGTACATTATTTTATGTTGTTTTGAATACATATGTGTGTGAATTACTTCTTTATTGTTAATACTTTCTGTTGCATTAGTAATTACAATAATCAATAGAAATATAAACATTGAATGAAATGTATGTAAGTTCTTCTCTTTAAATATACTCTCTTATTTTCATTATTATCTTTCATTTTATTTCTTAATGACTCAATTATTTCATTCTTCATTTCATCATATTGATGTATCATTGTATTTTGAAATTCAACAATAAATAGAATGAAATGAAATATTAAATTAAAATTCATGTCATTTTTGTATTTTAATCAACAAAATTAAATAAACATTCAATTTAATAAATAAATCATAAACAATAACAACAATAATGAATGAAATGAATAATAATTTCAATTCATAATTCAAATCATTATTATTTTAAGAATATATTCATCATTTATTGATTATTCATTTTAACTTGTTTCTTATTCCGACTTTATCATAAAATGATTCAAATGAATAAAACAAGAATAAGAATAAATAGTAATAACATGAACAAATATTTATTTAGTCTTATTAGAATTTATTATTTGATGAATATATTA